CTGAATTATTTTTAATCTGTGGGTGATTTATGTATAAAATTTACTGTTCAGTATGTTTGTCTGATGCCCGTGGGGGCCAGAAGAGGGCATCCGATTCCCTGAAGCTGTAGTTCAAAGCAGTTGTGTGTATGTGTGTGTTGAAAATTGAGCTCAGTGTTCTGGAAGAGGAACCAAGGCTCCAAACCATTTCTGCATCCCCTGGGAATAGCTGTAATAAAAAAAAAAAAAAAAAATTACCTTCTTCAACATCCAGTAAGTGATAATAATACCAGGCATGATGGCACATGTTTTCAATCCCAGCACTCAGGAGGCAAAGGAATGAAAATGTCTGAGTCTAAAGCAGTCCTGGTCTACATAGTGAGTTCCAGGACTGCCAGAACTACATAGACTCTGTCTCAATAATAATAATAATAATAATAATAATAATAATAATAATAATAGAATTGCTAACATAAAAATGTAACAAAGCCTTTAGTTTTCCGGTGCTGTATATCACAAAATCCATAACTCTAAAAAACCATAAAAGGTATACCATATATATTCCCTATGTCTTACTGTTCAGTAGAAATTAGTCACCAAATGCAATGAATTTGTAAAATCCTTTACCCATAAAAGAAAGTGCCCTAATAAAGTCTAATTTTTTGTTCACTTTCAAAAATCTTCATCCTATTGTCAAACCTTACAAATAGCAGAAGGTGAGAAACTGTAAAGAGAGAAGCTGTGCATGTGACATCACAAGCATGTCACGAATGGTTCAGAAATCCCCAAGGGCTCCAGATGGTGGTGCTTGCCTTTGTTGTAGGAATTTAGCAGAATCACTGGATGGGGTCGATAATAGAATGAACAGCTTTTTTATAGAAGTACCTTGACCTTGAAGAATCCTTGTGGAAAACAGTAATTGTTTACTGAAGGGTTAAGAGTACTGGCTGCCTTTTCATAAGTCCTGAGTTCAATTTCCAGCAACCACACGGTGGCTCACAACCAACTGTAATGAGATCTGGCCTGCAGGAATACATGCAGGCAGAACACTGTATATCCATCTAGTACCTGATGGAAGCAGATGCACTGACCCACAGCCTAGCACTGAACTGAGCTCCTGGAGTCTAGTTGAAGAGAGGAAGGAGGGATCATAGGAGCAAAGGGGTCAAGATCATGATGGGGAAAACCACAGAGACAGCTGAAAAAGATAACAGCTCACAGACTCTGGACTGACAGCTAGGAAACCTGCATGGGATCAAACTCGGTCTTCCGAATGTGGGTAACAGTTATGTGGCTTGATCTGTTTGCCATTCCCCAGTAGTGGGATCAAGACTTATCCTGGGTGCATGAACTGGCTTTTTGGAGCCCATTCCTTATGGAGGAATACCTTCTTCAGCCTTGAAGCCGGGGGAGGTGGGAAAGGGGCTTGGTGTTGCCTTACCTTGGGATGCCAGTCTTTGTTGACTCCCCAAGGGAGGCCTTGCCCCCTCTGAGGAGTGTATGGGGGTAGGAAAGGGAGAGGTGAGGGGGGCAGTAGAAGGGGAACTGGAGTTGGTATGTAAAATGAAAACAAAGTTTTTAATAAAAAATTAAATTAAAAAACACTGACACACAAGAAAAGACTTAAAAAAAAAGACTTCTGGACTCTTAGTACTAACTTATATTATACCAGATAATGAGCTAAGTGTAGTAGTACACTCCACACTGTAGAGGCATTGCTCTATGGTTAGCTAGTGGCAGGCTCCCTTCTCTGATCCTCAGGCTTAATTTGTAGAAGCAAGATAGCTCCACAAGAGGTAGATGGGTCTCAGTCATTTCCAGGCCAGCCCAGTCTTCAAAGTAAGTTTCAGACAAGCCAGAGCTGTTACACAGAGAACGCCTATTTAAAAAAAAAATAAATAGATTGATAAATAAATAAAAACAGATAATGATACAATCAGAAAGAAATTACAGATTGACACATTCTTTTATAAACTTTTCTCAACTCAGGATAATGGCAAATGCCTTTATTCCCAGCACTCCTGAGAAACAGACTGGATAATCTCTGGGACTTCAAGGCTATCCTGGTTTGTTATTAAAATGCTAGTTCCAGAACTGCCAGGGTTACAGAGAAAAACTCCTCTCTCTCTCTCTCTCTCTCTGTCTCTCTCTCTCTCTCTCTCTCTTCTCTCTCTTCTCTTCTCTCTCTCTCTGTCTCTTCTCTCTCTCTTATTAGCAATTTCACATTCACACACAGATGTTTATGTACATTTACAGTCAGTGAATGTTTGTGTATGCACACCTCAAACACCGCCCATTCTCACTGCTACCTCTCCACTATCCTGGTCCACAATTCAAACAAATTTGTCAATTAAGTTCTTCTCTATTGATTTTTTGTGGGATCCCCTGAGATTAACCAGGGCCATGTGTGAGTGGGTTTGGAGCTATGTGTCGGAGCCTGCTGGGCTGAGCAGAGGACTGCAGCTAAAGGCAGTGATTCTTCTACAATCCATCCATAGACAACATTTGAGAGGTAAAGGGTGGGGCCCTGTGAGTCTTTCCCTTTCCTAGACTGACTGTGGTCTAGTGTGAGGTCAATGCGGGTTAAGTACAGTTGCTGTTGCTTACTGATTACAACAGCTGTATGGAGTCTAGAGAATGGCGTGACTTAGCCCTCCCTCCTCTCTTCCTTCTCATTTCCTTTCTCCTCTTTCTCGATGTTCCCAGAGCCAAAGGTGGATGGTAGCTGACCTTCTTAGACATGGAACCACACACTTTTATTATTTTATTATTTTCTGCATGTGGGACAGCAAGAGTCTCTGCATTCACCGTTGTAATATTATACATATATATATATATATATATATATATATATATATATATATATATGTTTTATCTAAAAAGCTTCCTTAACCAGAGTCAGATGACAAATCTGTTTCTGAGTTAGTAAAATGACAAGACCCCCATGTAGTGGTGAGAGCCATGCAGTGCAGGATGAACTCAGCCCTTGGCTGTTAGCAATGGGCTGACCGCTGACTTCTCGGGACAGCAATCTGTTTTCAGAATCCATTCCTGAAATGTCTCTTCCCAAGTCACAGTTGCAGCGTTTAGTTTTGGCTTGCCATGTTTTTGTTGCGATGGGGCGCTGGCATCGAGTTTAGCCTGTTATCGTTTGGTGTAAGAATGTAGCCCGGGAGGCTGGCAGTCAAGTCGAGGCTATGCTGCCTCTCTTTTCTCTGAATGTTTCAGAGCTCACTGTGGGGTCAGATCCCGGGGTGCAGCGTCCTCCTGGATGCAGTTCTGGTCTAGGCTGGCAGCAAGCGTGTGTGGAGTCTGTGCAGAGCGGGTCCAGGGCAGCCTGACAGCTGCAGCTGTGGGGAAGGAGCGGGGGACACTAAACCGGAAACAGCTGTTGGGAGGAAGCTGAAGTTCTGGAGAAGGATGGAGAAATGGAAGGGGTTAGAGCAGTGATGTAAACGGAAGCTGGGAGACCTAATGAGCGAGGACCAGGAAGTGGACTGAGGAGCTGCAGACAGCAGTGCCCGTTCCCTGTCGTTGCTCCGGGTCCTGCACGGTGTGGAATCCTGTGCTGCAGATCTGGGTGCGGAGGGCACGGCGGGTGCCGCGGGGACCTGAAAACTCCGGAGCCGCAGTCTCCGCGCGGGGCGGCCTGGGAAAGTCACAGTCAGCAGCGCAGTGGCGGGAACCGCAGCCCGGCGGCCCTGGAACCTCCCAGGTGAGAGGAGCTGCGGGGCTGGGACCCAGGAGGGAGGGGACCGGGGATGGGAGCAGTTTCTCTGCTGTCCGTAAGGAAGTGGGCTCAGAGACATTGCTGTGGATGACTTTCTCTTGTCGGAAATTTTTAGATCATAGGAACTGTACTAACTCTGATTCTTCTTTTTCATTGATCTTCATTACCAAAATATTATAAAAACAATGTAATAGAATATTTGAATCTATGCCTTGATATTTGCAAACACAGTTCTCTCTGCTGTGTTGGAAAGGACCAAGTTTTTCAAATTTACATTCATCCACTCCAACTTTCGTGTTTAACCACCTCGCTATTCAAGAGAACTAGGGACTTGGACTCTCAAAGAGCTTTTATGTATTAGTCATGAAATGGACACCTGTAATGGAATCCAAAACTATATTTTTTTTGCGAGTTCCATATTATGGTTGGAAACATTAACTTTTAAAAGTTAATATTATCTGCCATGAAGTTTTCGTCTGACACTTACATATTGTGATGAAAATAGAACAGTTTAAAAAATGTCTTTGACAGGATTGTTGACACACACCTTTAATCCCACTACTGAGGAAGCAGAAGCTGGTCGTTATCAGTGAGTTGAAGGCCAGCATGGTCTCCATAGTGGGTTCCAGGACAGCCAGAACTTCATAAAAAGAAAAGGAACTTCAATAAAAGAAAGGGAAAACGAAATATGTATTTTTGTGCTGTGTTTTTAATGTGTATCTTAGAGCCTGGAAAAGCACAGTATGGTTTCTTATGGTATGAGGTCACAGTATTCTCAGAGTTAGAAAACGCATTATAAGCCACATGGTGGTGGTGGCACACACCTTTAATCCCAGCACTTGGGAGGCAGAGACAGGTGGAATTCTGTCAGTTCAAGGCTACCCTAGTTATAGAGCTAGTTCCAGGAGAGGCTCCAAAGCAAAAAAGAAACCCTGTCTCAAAAAAACAAAAACAACAAAAAACAAAACAAACAAATAAGGAAGGAAGGAAATCCAGGTGCATGGGTCTGGAAAGATGGCTTACAGGTTAAGAGGACTAACTGCTCTTCCAAAAAGTCTTGAATTCAATTCCCAGCAACCACATGATGGCTCCCAGCCATCTATAATGAGATTTGCTGCTCTCTTCTGTCATGGAGGCAGAACACTTTACATCGTAAGTAAATCTTAAAAAAAAAAAAAAAGTTAAAAACATTTTCTGAAGTTAGGCTCAGAAAGGAAGGAAGGAAGGAAAGAAGGAAGAAAGGAAGGAATGAATTCAGGGACATCCTGAACAATCTCTTTCTCTTGTACAGGGCTCACTAATCACCCAGACCTGTCACCTGTGCAGCAGAACAAAGGGGCCTGGAAGGAGAGAGGAGACAGTGGCTAAGGATGCAGGTATGGTATAGGGATTGGTGCTGGAGTGGCAAGGGGATCAAGTGAATGTGGAAGTGGGACAGGAAATCAGATTTGGCCACATTCTGTTCCACTAAAAATAATTCTGGAGACTTATCTGAGAAAGATCTCAAGATTATCCTATTGTGTGAGAACAGGTTCTACAGAAGAATTGATACTAGGAAGTAATAAAAGTTTTATTTGAGTATGCACGTGAATGACACTGTCCATATTTATTCACATCACTAATCATGTCTTCATAACAGTACTGATTGGTCTTTGTTTCTATGATTTGTATTATAAATGTATTAGAAATGTATTATAAAATAACCAAAATTATGACCTCTAGGTTTATTTATTATTTTCAGAATCTTGGAGCTTTTGGTATTCTAGCATGTCCTCTACCTTTTAGTTGTTAATGTGTCCATTTCTGAAAATAATAGCAACATAGTTTTATAAGAAATCAGGAAGTATATTTACAGACTGCACTGTCTTCCTAAGGATGTCTCCTGTTGTCAGTGGCCATGACAATCCCAAGTGGTTTCCATTGTAATTGTAATGCACTGTGAGATCACCTCTACATTTGATCCTCTTAGTATTTTCTGGCTCTTTGCTCTTCCTCGGTACTTTCAGGGTTCTTCTGTAACATACACAAGTAGGATCGTGAGAGGAATTGCTTGGAGTCTTGGAGAAGACAGACTTCCTTCGCACTTGTCTCCTCGTGTCTGAAAAGAACCATGAGGCAATGTTGTGCCTGTTTCCTCGTGTTCTTATGTGTTCTCCTGTTTTCTATCTGCTATGGATGTGGCGTGTATCGGTGTTGATCAATTGATCAAATGATTTTCTAACTAGTAGACCTTGTATCCATTGCTATTACTCCTAATTTCGTATTTTGATACTTTTGATTTTCCTGTCACTATTATAATTATGATCATCAGACCTCTTTACTGTTTTCCATAGTCATAGCATTTTGAAAAATTCATTCTTTCTCAGTGTTTTGTATCTTTGGACATGCATTTTTTTTTTTTTTTTTTTTGTCTGTTTTCTTGAATCCTGTAGTCTGTTTAAACCTTTTGCTTATGGAATACTACCTATTTACATTTCAAGAAGTTACTGAAAAATGCATTGGTTGTTGTTTAGCAACTTGAATATGAACACTGACTAGGCACAGTTGGAATCTGTATAAAACCTATCCAGTCTACATATTTTCTGGGATGAACATTTGGTATTAGTTAACCATATGGTGTACTCTTCTCTACAGAAGACTGTTTCTCCAGCTCTTAGAGTTCCTTCATGTTTGACTAGGGTTGAAGCTTGTGAGCTTTATGCCTTCCATGTTAGCATGTTTCTTGGTCTTGCTCTTGTTCAGCTCATGTTTAGTCAGCCACATTTTCATGATTTCATGTATGTAGCTTCTCACACATTCTCAGCATACATCCTGTTCCTCTGGCTCTTACAATGTTCCCACCCCTCCCTCCCAATGATCCCTGAGCCTGAATCGAAGGAGTTGTGTTGCTTATGAGTCAGCTGGGACTGAGCATCACAACTCTGCATTTTGACTGATTGTAGTATCATGTGATCAAACTATAATTTTTGTTTCAGGGTCTGCTGACATTCAGGGATGTGTCTGTGGACTTCTCCCGGGAGGAGTGGGTATGCTTGGACTCTGCTCAGAGGACTTTGTACATTGATGTGATGTTGGAGAATTACAGCAACCTGATCTTTGTGGGTGAGAACATTTTGCTTATAGAACCCCTAACTCACCCTTTGTATGTAATATGCTGAAGATTCTGAATGAAATAACAATTTGAAAATTATTCCTAGATTCCTCCACTTTGTGTTCCTTCATGTACTAAGCCCAGTACTGTGTTACATGTCTGTATTCTTTCTAAAAATTCTAGCATGGGTCACGGGCTACTTCACAAAACACATGGATTATTGTATGCAAGGCAGGTCTGGTCATGTGTCTGGAGCAAATGAGATTGCTCTGGAATGTGGAGCATCAGGATGGGCTAGTGAATTAGCTAAACAACAGTGATGGCTTCAAGTGAAAGAGAAAACTAGAGCGGAGAATGTTTTGGCGATATTCAATTCTATTTGAAAGGATTCTGGATCATTTAACTTAGTGTAGTGTCCTGGCCCCAGGATGCATCCTGACTGTTGTAACTCTTAGAAGACATGTGTCTTATTACACCTGAACTATGGTGAGTTAATACTAGTACAAAATGCAATTTTACTTGACTATGCTGACATCAGATTAGAATAATTTTACAAACTTTTAAGTCTAACATGAGCCCATGACGTAGTATTACTCTGTAATTGCCTTCCTTGCTATGTGTCTTGTACGACATCCTTCATTTTCTTCCCAGTGGAGAACACAGACACCCTTCTGGGAAATAATCTCAGGAACTGGGGTACAGAGTGGACTTGAGAATGACCTTAAGAGTTAGTTAGGAAACACAGCAGTGTGTGGAGCTCAGACAGTGGAGGATAGAAATAAGCAATAGCTGCCCATGACAACCCTGCCTCACATGATGTAGAACTTCTGATGTCTGGCAGAATACTGTCTTTACATCCATTACTTTAGAAGAATCTAATATATTTTTCTAGGGTAAGAAGTAAATCCTGTGATGCTTTTTTTTTTTCCAGTTTTTTATTTTATTTTACATTCCAACCATAGTTCTCCCTTCCACCCCTCCTTCTGCCCCCCACATCCTGTGATGCTTTTAAATAAGACTTTAAAGGAATTGTGTCTTGTGAACAGTACTCCTCATTGCCTATCACTTAGTAAGTACAAACACTGTGAATCTAGGATTATATTAAACTTCATCAATTTCTGAGCAGTAATATTTAAACATAGAGACATGTGTTCTAACTATAATCAGTCAGTGAGCTCCATCCCAGAATTAATTACTGATTCCTCAATTACATGATCCATCTTGTGCTGTTAGACATTTTGATAAAGATGAGATATTTGTTATATCATAGACTCTTGACAGCTGTCAGGCTATTTTTGTAAGAATACATAAAAGTACAGTAAAAGAATAAATATCTAAGTATTTGCTGGTTGACTTTCATAAGAGAGAGCTTAGGGAGAGAATCATGTATCAAATGTTTAGTCTCAGAACAAGCCCTATTAATCTGAAATGCACTCATTTTCCAGAGAACTATTACATATGTGATCCTGTCCATCACCATGTGAAGACTGAAAAGGAGTGTTGTCAGTGTAATGAGCTTGGCAAAGTGCTTCATGACCCCTCCACATGTGCACTTTATAGAATAAGTGAAACTACAGCAAAGTCTAATAACTACAGATGCAGTAATCACAGGGATGCCTCTATTAACTCATCAAACCCAGATAGACATGAGAGCATGCACAATGGAGAAGAATCTTGCCAAGCTAAAGACTGTGAGAAGTCTTTAAATTTGTGTTCCAACATTACTGAAGATCAGAGAGTCTACACTGCAAAGAAAGAATGCAGGCAAGGAGAATATGGTGACTGTTTTAACACTACACACACTCTTTTGCAACAAAAATTTTCTATTGGAGAGAAACCACACCGGTGTGGAAAATGTGGGAAATACTTCAGTGCTGCCTCAAGCCTCACTGTACATCAGAGAATTCATACTGGAGAGAAACCTTACAAATGTGGAGACTGTAACAAATCCTTTAACCATCGTTCAAATCTTAGGACACATCAGAGAGTCCACACTGGAGAAAGACCTCACAGTTGTAAAGAATGTGACAAATCTTTTACTATGTACTCATATCTTGTAGCACATCAGATAATTCATACCGGAGAGAAACCCTACAAATGTGCAGAATGTGATAAGTCCTTTAACCAACGTTCAAAACTTAGAATACATGAGAGAGTCCACACTGGAGAGAAACCTTACAGTTGTAAAGAATGTGACAAATCTTTTACTATGTACTCCTATCTTGCAGCACATCAGATAATTCATACTGGAGGGAAACCTTACAAATGCAAAGACTGTGACATGTCCTTTCTCTGGATTTCTACTCTTAGAATACATCAGAAAATTCACACTGGAGAGAAACCTTACAAATGCAAAGACTGTGACATGTCTTTTAATCGGTTTTCAAATCTTAGAAGACATCAGAAACTTCATACTGGAGAGAAACCTTACAAATGTGCAGAGTGTGACAAGTTCTTTACCCACATGTCAAATCTTAGAACACATCAGAGAGTTCACACTGGAGAAAGGCCTTACAGTTGTAAGGAATGTGACAAATCTTTTACTAGATGGTCCAACCTCAGAGCACATGAGAAAATTCATAGTGGAGAGAAACCCTACAAATGCAAAGACTGTGACATGTCCTATATCCACCTTTCTAGTCTTAGACGACATCAGAGAGTTCACACTGGAGAGAAAAATACCTTTCTCATAATGTGACATAGCATTTTTTTTTTTTTCAGTATTCTCTGCTTATAAATCCCAACAGTCTATGTAATGTGTTGTGGGATAAATTTTTGTATACTGTGAAGATGTGTCTTTGCACCATCTGATTGGTTTAATAAAGAGCTGAATAGCCAATGGCTAGGCAGGAGAAAATAGGCAGAACTTCTCAGAAGAGAAAGGAACTTGGGAAGAATCTGGTGTGGCACAAGATGCTGGCAAGACATGGAAGGAGTCAGACTTACAGAATGGAAGAGAGGTAAAGCGCCAGCCAATTGGCAAAACAAAGATTAACAGAATATGTTAGTCACTTTAAGTTATAAGAGCAGGTTGGGAACAATCCTAAGCTAGAGGCCAAGTTTTCATAACTAATAATAAATCTTTGTGTCATTCTTTGGGGGCTGGGGGTCCAAAGAAAGTCCAACAAGAAAGACAACTACAATAATAGAAATACTGAAGTTTTAAATCTTCGAAAATATCACAGAGGTTATATTTTTTAAAATTCTGCAATAATAATTGAAGTTATTAAATGTATATGGGTGTTTTGCCCAATGTGCTGCTGGCTTGCCAGGTGCCTGTGAATGCCATCAGAGGACATAAGATTCCCTGAGACTGGAATTATATACAGTTGTGAGCTCCTATGTGTGTGTTAGGAATTAAACCCCAGTCCTCTGGAAGAGCAACCAGTGCTCTTAACCGCTAAATCTTGACTCCAGCCTCTGGGAAATGCTGTAATAAAATCATTTATCTTAGATGGGTAGTAGTGGCACAAACCTTTAATCCTGGCAGAGGCAGGTGGACACTTGTGAGTTTGAGGCCAGCCTAAGGTACACAGCTAGTTCCAAAACAGCAAGACTGTTACATAGGGAAATCTTTTCTCAAAAAACAAACAAAAAATTGTTCAACATACAAGAATTTATGATAAAGATAGGCTATTTGGTGCATGCCTTTAATCCCAGCACTCAGGAGGCAGAGACAAGAAAAACTCTATGACTCTGAGGCCATCCTGGTCTAGTGAGTTCCAGGACTGCCAGGAATACATAGACCCTGTCTTGAAATAAATAAAATAAATCATAATAAGGACAAAATGTAGTAAAACTAAAAAAGTGATAAAGACCTGTAATTATTCATAATGATTGACATTGTATCTAGGGTGTGATGGATGGAGGCTTAAAGGAGTCCCAGTCTGCATTTCCCAGGTATATAACATTTTTGTTCTTTTTGGTTTTAGTTTGGGTTTGTTGTTGTGTGTTCATTTGTTTTCTTTTTCTTTTCTTTTTTTTTTTCTTTTTTAATCCTGAATTTATAAGAACATTCTTCCTCTCCCTTTCCTTCAGACAAATCCTCCCATTTACCCTCCTTGCTAACTTTCAAATTCATGGCATCTTTTTCTTGTCTTTTTGAATGCATATATATGTATGTACATATACATATATATATTTGTAAATAACTTAATACATATGTTACTTATATGCATGTTTTCAGGGCTGACTATTTGGTACCAGTTGGTGTGTGTAGCAGGAGTTCTAATAGGTATTAATAATAAAAACCTGCATCTGGGACAGCAAGAACCTCTGCATTCACCATTTCAGCTTTATAAGATCCTATATTTTATCTAAAAAGCATCTTAAGCATGAGTCACAGAAACCTAACTTAGAAGTGTCTGGGTTAGTAAAGTGAAAAGATCGCTATCTAGTGATAAGAGCCATACCGCACGGGATGAACTCAGCCCTGGGCTGGTAGCAATGCGCTGATCACTGACTTTTTGAGACACCTGTTTCTTTTCAAAATCCAAGTTCCTGAAATGTCTCTTCCAAAGATACAACTGCAGTATTCGGTTTTGCTTCTCAGCGTCATGATGGGACGCTGGCATCTGAATTTCACCTGTGATCATTTGTTCTATGTAGCCCGGGAGGCTGGCAGTCAAGTCGAGGCTATGCTGCCTGCCTTTTGTCTTTAGGGTTCAGAGCTCACTGTGGGGTCAGATCCGGGGTGCAGCGTCCTCCTGGATGCAGCTCTGGTCTAGGCTGGCTGCAAGCGTGTGTGGAGTCTGTGCAGAGCGGGTCCAGGGCAGCCTGACAGCTGCAGCTGTGCTGAAGGGACCGGTCTCAGTGGGGCGGGGACACTAAACCGGAAACAGCTGTTGGGAGGAAGCTGAAGTTCTGGTGATATAGGGGGAAAGGATGGAGAAGTGGGAGGGGTTATAGCAGTGACGTAGGCGGAAGCTGGGAAAACTAGTGAGAGGATAGGGAAGTGGACTCAGTAGGCAAAGACAAGTTACCATTTCCTGTCGCTGCTCCGGGTCCTGCACGGTGTGGAATCCGGTGCTGCAGATCTGGGTGCGGAGGGCACGGCGGGTGCCGCGGGGACCTGAAAACTCCGGAGCCGCAGTCTCCGCGCGGAGCGGCCTGGGAAAGTCACAGTCAGCAGCGCAGTGGCGGGAACCGCAGCCCGGCGGCCCTGGAACCTCCCAGGTGAGAGGAGCTGCGGGGCTGGGACCCAGGAGGGAGGGGACTGGGGGTGCGAGCAGTTTCTCTGCTGTCACTAAGGAAGCCGGCTGAGAGACATTGCTGTGGATGCCTGTCCCTTGTCGGTAAATTTCAAATTATATGGCCTGGACCAATCCTAATTTTTTTTCATTGATCTTCTGATTGCCAAATAGTCTCATAAAAATAACCTATTAGAATATTTGAATTTATGTGTTGATGTTTGCAAACACAGCAAACTTTGCTATGGTGGAAAGGACAAAGCTCTTCAAATTTACATTCATCCATGCTAATATTCGTGTTAAACCACTTCGCTATTCAAGAGAATGGCACATAGAACTAGGAATTTGGTATTCCCAAAGAGCTTTTATATATTAGTCATGAAATGAACGCCTGCAAATGCAACTGAACCCGCAAGTATATTTTTTGCGAGTTCCATGGGTATGATTGTAAGAATTAACTCTTAAACTTTTTATCCAACATTAAATTTTCTTCTGACACGTATACGTATGTGGTGTATACAGACCATTTTGAAAAATGTCTTTGGCAAGCTTGGTGGCACTCACCTTTAATCCCACCACAGGGGAGGTAGAGGCAGGTAGTAATGGGGTCCGGAGCTAGGGCTGATGAAAGCTTGCCTAACGTATGCAAAGCTCAGGGTCCAGACTTCAGCGCCACAAAAGCATAATGAGTGAGGCTAGAAAATGCTACTTAGGGCTAATGCAAGGTTGGGGGTGAACTATTGAGAAATTTTAAAAATGATTATAATTTAATGCGGTATATGATCCCTTTGAAGAGCAAGGAAGTAGAGACTAGAGAGGCCATGAAATTACTGACTGAAGTTTTCTTTCTTGATATGAGTAGTACTTGCTTAGTGATAACTCATCAGATATATATTATACACTTGATTTGTGTGTTTTCCTCCGTGATTTATTTTAAAATTAAAAGGCATAATTTTTAAAAAATATAAAAAAATAGAGCTGCTGTTGAGTATGGCCTGTTCAACCCACTTGCTTATTTATGGATTGTAGTATTATTTCCTCCCTTTGTACTTTTTTTTTTTTTTTTTTGATAGATTCTGAGTTTTTATCCATTGTAGTATAAACGCATAGCCAATAAATGTATCTTCTGTGTAGGCTGTCTCTTCATAGTTTTAATTGTATTTTCCTGAATTTCTTTTTTCCACAGTACTATATGTCAGTTCCTGCGGTTGTATCAGGTGTTGCCCCTTTATGTTGCTCTGAAGGGTTCATGGTTTCAGATCATACATGAAGGTCTGTGATTCATTGTGTGGTAGGAGAGACTTGAACCCAGATTCATGTTTTTATATGTGGATAGGTACTTTCCCCAATACCACTGTTTGAAGAGGCTATCTAGTCTGTGACACATGTTTTTGGTATTTTGGTGATGTTCACCTGATCATTACTGTTGGGCTTGTTCTGGATCCGATGCTCTGTTGCAATGGGCTGATCTGGAATCCCACTGGAATAGCTCAAGCATTACGACATTTTCCTGGGGCTGTCAACATAAATTCTACATTTTCCTTTACTATTTCTCTGAAGGTTATTGTGGGACATTTAAATGTCATGAAGTTTGAACTGATTATATAAACCACTTTCAGAAATACTGCAGGTTTTAAAATACTGTGCTCCATTCTGTCTGTGTGAAATGTCTTCCCTTGTTCTAGTTAGCTCAAGTATTTTAAATTTTGTTTTCTCTCTCCTAATTTTTTATTTGCTATTCACATTTTGATGAAGTGTCTCTAAAAGAACAACAGGTGATCTGAAACATTGAGCCATCTCTCTAGGCCCCTATTAAGTTTTATTATGTGAGTAGCAGTAGTAAACAAAATTGTAAATTTTTAAATCTACATTATCCAAAAATTTTGACTTTATATAGGCATTATTTTAATAACCTGCTCTTTCATTCTTGTTGTATATTTTGTGTATTCATAAACATAAAAATACAACCTACTCAGTCTGCATTTGGTATTGGATAGCCATATGGTATACTCTTCTCTGAGGAAGACTATTTCTCCAGCTCTCAGAATTCCTTAATGTTTGACCAGGGTTGAGACCTAGTGAGCTTTCTCCCTTCCATATTAATGTGTCTTTTGATGTTGTCCTTGTTCTGCTCATGTTTAGGCAGCCATTTTGTACAATTTCGTGCATGTAGCTTCTCTGACATTTCTAGGAGACACAATCTCAGCAAACATCCTGTTCCTCCAGCTCTTACAATGTCCCCTCCCCTTTCTCAGTGATCCCTGAGCCTAGGTGAAGGAGTTGTGTTGTTTATGTGTCAGTGGGGACTGAGCATCATAACTCTGTATTTTGGCTGATTTGTGGTTTTCTAAAATAATCTCCATGTGTCTAAAAAGAACTTTGTTTGATGAGGGGTGAGAACTACATATATTTGTGGGAATAAGGAAAATATTTAGAATACAGATAGGGATTGTGCTGATTTAGTAAAATGGTGTTTGTAAGGTCTCCTCCAAGATCCCCGACTTCACTAACCCTAGGGAAACTGGCTAGGTTTCCAATAGTAATCATGACTTCCCTCTTGTGATGAGGGTCTTTTTTTTTTTTTAAGAAGCTGTTGGTTACCACCATGTTTGTGTGCCACTCTTGTACCCTCAGGGTTATCATGCAGTGCAGATCATTTTTTCTGGTTCATGGGTGTCATTAAGGGGGAGAAATGTTGACTGGCTCCCACTGGAACCTCGAATTTTCCTTCTTGTACCATAAAAGCTAATCTGCAGGAAGAACATTTTAAGTTCTGATTCATCTCAAGTCCTCCCACTTTTGTGACCTAACTATATGATTTCTTCAACAATAGGGACTCATCTTTTGTGTCTGAGAGTCCCCCATGGGCTACAGCAATAGCCTATAATGTTTTGGGAGTCTCTTGGAGAGCAGTGGCAAATTCAAAGCAGGCTTCTCATGCCTCGTGTGGGTGGCTTTGTTAGAAAATCAGTGGTTCTTGTGGGGAGCATTATCAGTGTTATCACTTATATTCTAAATATATATGCATATTCAGACTTACATGTATTGTAAGCACTTTTCATAGATGGATAATACTGAAGGAATTGATGGATTCCTTATGATTGTTTAACATCCTTACCCTCCTTCTTAAGTGTTTTATATCTGTCCCTTCTCCATAATTAAATTCCTCCACATTTTTCCATTTCCCCCTTCAGATCACTTGTTCCCTGTTACCCCATATCTATTGCTCCCCCACATCCCACAGTGCTCTTTTTTTTTTTTTTTTTTTAATTTTCTGGCTACTGCAGTCACTCCAGGTTGTATATTCACATCTGAAGATTTGGAGCTAAGAACTTCCTATGAGAGAGAACATGTATTGTCTGTCCTACTGGATCTGGATTACCTCACTCAATATGATCTTTTCTAAGTCCATCTATGTACTAGCAAAGCTCATGATTTCAATTTTCTTTACAGGTAATAATATTGCATAGTATATGTGAGTCATATTTTCACTATCCATTTGTCAGTTGAAGACAGAGTTTCACTCCAGCTAAGTCCAACAGCCCTTTAGTCCCAAATAAACACACTGAGGCTTATATTAATTATAAACTGTTTGGCCGATGGCTAAGACTTCTCATTAAGCTATGTATTGCCATTTGGCTGTGGCTTACCTATAATGGTCTGGCATGTTACTCCTTTGGTGGCCACATGGCGGCTCCCTCTCTGGTGATGGCTTCCTTGCCTTTCCTCTTCCCAGAATTCTCTTAGTCTGGTAGTCCTGCCTGTACTTCCTGCCTGGCTACTGGCCAATAAGCATTTAATCATCATTACAGCATATAGAAGGACATCCCCCATCAGACAATTAAGTTGTTTCCTTTTTGTAGTTATTGTGGATAGAGCAGTAATGAACATGGCTAGCAAGTATCTGTCAGTTGAATTTGAGCATATGCCAAGGAGTGGAACAGCTGGGTTATGTGCTATATTTATTTAATTGAGGATTCTCTACATTGATTTTTAGAGTGGCTAGATATTTGTTTATCTCCTATGCTTTTGTTTTTTATGTTATTGCTATTTGGATTATTGGCAGTATTTTTCTTCTCTGTGGATTTAGTGATTTGCTATCTTACTCATAGATGACTGTTTCCCATTTCTCCTGTCTCTATCTGTTCTTCACATGAAATTTATTATTTCCCACGGTCTCATGGATAACTCCTTCTCTAATTTTCCTATATCTATTTTGCCTTTGATGTATTGTCTGCTGTCCTGCTTTGTTAAAATGAATTGTTTTACTTCATAAATACCCTGAACTGCATTTACATCTCTAACAATTTTAATATAGAATTGTTCTGAATGAAACTATATGGTTAATAGTGCTTTTTTGTTGTTGTTTTTGTTTGTTTTTGTTTGTTTGTTTGTTTGTTTCTCTAACCTTCAAATGTCATTTCATGGTCTTCTGGCTTTGGTATCACTGACCGGACACCTGGTGTATTCTGTTGCTTTTCATGTGATTTGACATTGTTCTTTCAGTATTAACTTTTGCTTTTTCCTTTTGACTCCTTTATTTGATAGAGAAGCAAGTCCTGAAAGAGAAACTCAGAAGAGAAACAGAAAGAAATGGCTGATTCTCCAGTAAGCATGTCCCAGGTCAGTGATAATGTCCACTATTTTTCTAGAAATGTTATATATTCTGACATTTCAAGCCTTTCATTTTCTGCTTCTGATATTTTTTTACATCTTATTATGAAAAATGTTCAAATGAACAACAAAAGCATCACACCCTGCAATTAACCAGCCGTAAAGAATATGCAATGCTATGTACTTTTATGCAGTCAGAGTCCTCATAAGGAATAGAAGCTCTGGAGCCTCACATGGGATTTTATATTTTCACTATCAAATATATTTTTATGAACTTGTCTACTACAAAAAAAAAGATAAAAAGAAATGACAGAATTAAAACTAGAAAAGCACTTAGCTTTATACACTTATTCATAACTGGTGTTCATACCTGCATGCAGCCCTCCCTCAACCCTGATATTTAACCTTTCTTGTTGTCTTCTCTATGTTCTGCTGTGCCCATGTGGACATTGTTTCCATATACACATATTGTTGGCTAGATTCTACATATGAGGGAAGATGTGGTTTCTTCTTTCTGACACTGTATGACCTCACTTAATATTGCATATTTTAAGTCATTCCATTTTCACCTGCTGATAGACAATTTGCTTAATTATAAAACTTTGCTATGATGAGTCACGGATCAATGAACCCAGGGTGTAATGTAACCATCTCTGTATTGGGGTGTGAAGTTCTCAGGTTATATCCTCAGGAGTGATATTGCTGGGTCATACATTAGAGTTCTGTCTTCAGATGTTTTCAATCATCTGCAAACTGATTCCCACAATGGCTATATTAATTTACAATCCCCCTCACATAGCAGCAGTTAGTGATGATTCTTTTCTCTCCACATCCTCCCCCACATTTGTTGTCAGGTTAGTTGATGACAGCCATTCTCCCTGGGGTGAGGCAGTATCTCAAAGTAGTATTAGTTTGTGTTTCCATAATGGCATTTTAGGGATCCTGAAGACTTAAAGTATTTATTGGCCATTTGTGTTTCTCTTTAAAAAGTGTCTATTCAGGTCATTTTTATTTCCTTGGTGTAATTCTCAGTAAATTCTAGGTATGAGCCCCTATCCAAAATGTTGCTGGTACAGATTCTCTACTGTTCAATACATCATAAGTATTAAAAAGGACACATTAAGGACTACAAAATTCAGATTGCAATAGCTCAGATTTTCTTTTGATTTTCTTCTGTGCTATATTTTATTTGCAAAGCACTGAAAGTGAGTATAATTCTCACAGAATTTAATATATTCATTTACTCACAGGAAATCTGTGTCACTTCTGAATGCATCCACAGTTAACTGCACTTACATGTACATGCTTAGCTGGAACTTAAAACACTATTTGATGTGGTTTTTGTATTTCCCTCAATATTTGTAACTTCTGAAATTGTTAGATAATAATTAGTTGTCTTTTGCCTATTTTTAGCAAAATTTTAGATTATAAGAAATGTGGTTGATGTGGATTTTTCTATCTGCTTGGTTGGAACTCAAAAATTCTTTTGTTTGTTTGTCTGTTTGTTTGTTTTTCAAGACAGGGTTTCTCTATGGTTTTGGAGGCTGTCCTGGAACTAGCTCTTGTAGACCAGGCTGGTCTTGAACTCACAGAGATCCACCTGCCTCAGCCTCTGCCTCCCTCGTTCTGGGATTAGAGGTGTGCATTACCACTGCCTGGCAGGGCTCAAATATTCTTATTAAAATAATCCCATAGACTACTTGATCTCATATGTTAGTGTTAAAATTGACAGTATATAGTGCGGTTACACTCATTGTTACTGTGGAAAAACAGCCAAAATTCTTTGCCTATAAAGTGAGTCATGAATTCTGCCTTTCATATCTACAACATTTTTTTTTTTAATGGAATGGCATTGGACCTAGAGTTTAAACATATGAACTGAGCATATTAGAGTACAATCATCTAAGGCTGAAGAATGCACAGAATTAAGTGTCAATATCTTATCATGATCTACAGGTACAGCATTTACAGCACACTTCCTCATCACTATTTTCCTTCTGAGATATGTACACTGTAATTCTGTGTGATATATTTACAGCATCCATACCAGAAAGATAACTGTGTCCAGACCTTAAATGTCTGTTGTTTCGTGTATATTGCTTGTGAAACTATTATATCATCCTGTTTTTACAGAGTTAGAAAATCCATTATACAATGTGACTATATTAGAAATTTTTTTTTTTTTGACTAATTGTCTTTACTCATCTTCATTCCTAATTTCCTGGGACCATGTTATCAAACTGTACTTTTTTTGTTTCAGGGTCAGTTGACATTCAGGGATGTGACAGTGGACTTCCCTCAGGAGGAGTGGGAATGCCTGGACTCTGCTCAGAGGGCTTTGTACATTGATGTGATGTTGGAGAATTACAGCAACCTGGTCTCTGTCGGTGAGAACATTTTTCTTCTAGAATTCATAACTCATCCTTTGTATGTACTAACTAGCATTGTAGGGTTAGGGTTAGGGTTAGGGCTAGTGAATTACCTGAACAACAGCAATGGATTCAAGTGAAAGAGTAAGCAAGAGCTGAGAATGCTTTTGCAATATTCGATTCCACTTGAAAGTGTTCTGGATCATTTAACTTAGTGTAGTGTCCTGGCCCCAGGATGCATCCTGACTGTTGTAACTCTTAGAAGACATTGTGTCTTATTACACCTGAACTATGGTGAGTTAATACTAGTACAAATTGCAATTTTATTTGACTATGCTGACATCAGATTAGAATAATTTTACAAACTTTTAAGTCTAACATGAGCCCATGACGTAGTATTACTCTGTAATTGCCTTCCTTGCTATGTGTCTTGTACGACATCCTTCATTTTCTTCCCAGTGGAGAACACAGACACCCTTCTGGGAAATAATCTCAGGAACTGGGGTACAGAGTGGACTTGAGAATGACCTTAAGAGTTAGTTAGGAAACACAGCAGTGTGTGGAGCTCAGACAGTGGAGGATAGAAATAAGCAATAGCTGCCCATGACAACCCTGCCTCACATGATGTAGAACTTCTGATGTCTGGAAGAATACTGTCTTTACATCCATTACTTTCAAACAATCTAATGTGTTTCTCTAGATAGAAAAATAAACTCTGTGATGCTTTTAAGTAAGTCTTTAATTTTTAAAGGAATTGGGTCTTCTGAACCTCATTGCCTATCACTTAGTAAGTACAAACACTGTGAACCTGGGATTGTATTAAACTCTTCTTATCAATTTCTAAGAAGAAATATTTAAAAATAGAGACATGCTTTCTAAATATAATCAATCAGTAAGCTGTACCCCAAAGCTAATGCTGATTCCTTAATTATTTGATCCATCTTATGCTGTTAGACATTTTTTATAAGGATGAGCTATCTCCTATTAATCATAGACCATTGAAGGCTGTCAGGCTGTATTTGTGAGACTATACAAATTACAGTGAAAAAAAACAAAAGATGTTCAAGTAGTTGCAGGTTGATTTATCTTAAGAGAGAACATAGAGATACCGTCATTTATCAAATATCTAATCTTGGAACAAGCCTTGGTTTTAATATGAATTATACTCACTTACAGAGAACTATTGCAAATGTGATCCTGTCCATCACCATGTGAAGACTGAAAAGGAGTGTTGTCAGTGTAATGAGCTTGGCAAAGTGCTTCATGACCCCTCCACATGTGCAATTTATAGAGCAACTGAAATTACAGAAAACTCTAATAACTACATATGCAGTAACCACAGCGATGCCTCTACTAACTCATCAAACCCAGATAGACATGAAAGCATGCTCACTGGAGACGAACCTTGCAAATCTAAAGACTTTGAGAAACCCTTAAATTTGCTTTCCAATATTACTCAAGATCAGAGACTCTACACTGAAAAGAAAGAGCACAGACAAGGAGAGTATGATGACTACTTCAGCTCTGCATACAGTCTTTTACAACAACCAATCTACATTGGAGAGAAACCATACCAGTGTGGGAAATGCAGGAAATGTTTCAGTACTGCCTCAAGCCTCTCTGTACATCAGAGAATTCACAGTGGGAAGAAACCCTACAAGTGCAACATTTGTGGCAAATCCTATAACCAATGTGCAAATCTTAGAATACATCAAAGACTTCATACTGGGGAGAATCCTTACAAATGCAAAGAATGTGGGAAGTCATTTCGACAGTCCTCAGCTCTTAAAAGCCATCTGAAAATACATACTGGAGAGAAGCCTTATAAATGTAAGGAATGTAATAAATCCTTTGCCCACCATTCCAGTTTCAGGACACATCAGAAAATCCATACTGCTGAGGAACATTGTAGTTGTCAAGAATGTGGCAGGGTCTTTCATCAGCTTTCACATTTCAGACGACATTACAGACTCCATAGTGGAGAGAAGCCTTACAAATGCAATGAGTGTGACAGAGCCTTTACACACTATTCATCCCTTAGATGGCATCAGAAGACTCATTCTTTAGAGATATTTTATAAATGTGAAGAATGTGGTAAGTCCTTCCTTGAATTATCACATCTTAAAAGGCATTACAGAATCCACACTGGTGAAAGGCCTTACAAATGTGAGGTGTGTGACAAATCTTTTACGGTGAACTCAACTCTAAAAACACATCAAAAAATTCATACTGGAGAGAAACCTTACAAATGTAGGGAATGTGACAAATCCTTTACCAAGTGCTCACATCTTAGAAGACATCAGAGAGTTCATACTGGAGAGAAACTTTACAGTTGTAAGGAATGTGGCAAATCTTTTCCTGAGTGCTCAACTCTTAGAGACCATCAGAAAATTCATACTGGAGAGAAACCTTACAAATGTGGTATATGTGACAAATCCTTTATCCAGCAATCAAATCTCAGAACACATCAGAGAGTTCATACTGGAGAGAAACCTTACAGATGTAAGGAATGTGGCAAATCTTTAACTACACTCTCAACTCTTAGAGCCCATCAGAAAATTCATACTGCAGAAAAACCTTACAAATGTATGGAATGTGACAAATCCTTTACCCATAACTCACATCTTAGAACACATCAGAGAGTTCATACTGGAGAGAGACCTTACAGTTGTAAGGAATGTGACAAGTCTTTTACTATGTACTCGTATCTTAGAGCACATCAGAAAATTCATAGTGGAGAGAAACCCTACAAATGTAAAGACTGTGACATGTCCTTTCTCAGGATTTCTAGTCTTCAAATACATCAGAAAATTCATACTGGAGAGAAACCTTTCAAGTGCAAAGACTGTCACCTATCCTTTAATCAGATATCGAATCTTAAAAGACATCAGAAACTTCATACTGGAGAAAAACCTTACAAATGTCTGGAATGTGACAAATCCTTTGCCCACATGTCAAATCTCAGAACACATCAGAGAGTTCATACTGGAGAGAGACCTTACAGTTGTAAGGAATGTGACAAATCTTTTACCAGGTGCTCTTACCTCAGAGCACATCAAAAAATTCATACTGGAGAGACACTTCACAAATGTGAAAACTGTGACATGTCCTATATCCACCTTTCCAATCTTAGAAGGCATCAGAGAGTTCACACTGGAGAGAAAAATAACTGTTGTAAATAATGTGACATAGCATTCTTTTTGTATTCTCAGCTTATAAAGCCCAACAGTATACATAGTAGAAACATAAAGATAAGAAACTTGGAGGCACCAGGCATTGGGGGTGCACACCTGATGTACGCCTTTAATCCCAGCACTCAGGAGGCAGAGGCAGGTGGATCTACAGGGCTAGTTCCAGGACAGGCTCCAAAGCAATACAGAGAAACCCTGTCTCAAAACACACACACACGCACACACACACACACAAAAGGAGGAGAAGAAAGACAGAAAAGAAAAGAAAAAAGAAACTTGGAGGCTGGAGAAATGGTTAAGAATACTGGCTGCTCTCCCAAAGGACTGGGATTCAATTCCCACCACCCAGATGGCAGCTCACAGCTGTCTGAAGCTCCTCTTCTGAGGGATATGATTTCCTCATACAGACATACTTGCAGGCAAACACCAATGTATACAAAATAAAATATAAATTATTTTTTAAAAAATAGGACTTTGAGGGTACAAAATTATTTATAAAAGATAAACTTGTAAAAAGCCTTTAATGAGGGAGCTGGATGGATGGCTCAGAGGTTAAGAGTGCTGGCTGCTCTTCCAGAGAACACAAGTTCAATTCCCATCATCCACATGGGAGCTCACAACTGTCTGTCATTCTGGTTTCAGGAGATCTGACACCTTCATACCATTGCAAATAAAATAAAAAAGTTAAATAAATTATTTTTTTAAAAAAATAAAAAGCCTTCAATGAAATTTTAAATCTTATGAAATGTCACAGAGTTTATATCAAAATAAAAATCTGCAGTAGTAAATGTGAATTAAAAAAAAACAAAAACAAAAAACTGTGTATGGGTGTTTTGCCTGCAATACTTTCTGTATACTGTATGTTTGCCTGGTGCCTGTGGATGCCAGAAAAAGACATAAGATTCCTGAAACTGGAGTTCTAGACAGTTGTGACCTCCTATGCATGTGTTGGGGATTGAACCCTGATCCTCTGAAAGAGCAACCAGTGTTCTTTTCCACTAAGCCATGTCTCCAGTCCCTGGGGAAGGTGTAATAAAATTATTTATCTTGGCCTGGCAGTGGTGGTGGCACATGACTTTAATCCCAGCACTGAGGAGGCAGGTAAAGGTGAATACATGTGGGTTTGAGACCATTGTAGTCTACACAGTTAGATACAGGGCAGCCAAAGATGTTACTTAATGAAATTCTATCTTGAAAAACAAAAACAAACAAACAAAAAAAAAAGACAACCTTAGAACTGTTTATCTTGCTCAACACTCAAAAATTCATAATAATGCCAGCCTATATAGTGCATTCCTCTAATCTCAGTACTCAGGAGGCAGAGGCAAGAAGAGGATGGTCTGAGATCATCCTGGTAGTGAGTTCCAGGGCTGCCCCATCCCCAGTTAAACATTTAGCACACATTATCCAATGTCCCATTCTCTTATATATAGCACATGTGTTCTACTATCCTCTTTTATTGTATTATTTACTTGGGTTGCAAAATGATAAATTCCCATGTAGTTTCTTCATGGACGTCTTAAGTTGATCTTTCATTAGCCTCTCTTCACTACACTACATACTTGAACCATCCTGCCACGTTATACCCACTCTGTAATTTCATATCATCTATATTCTATTATGCATCCTCTCTTGCATCACCAACCCCACATATGACATAGAGCTGATCTCCAAAGTATACAAAGAACTCAAGAAACTAGACACCAAAACACCAACTAATCCAATTTTAAAAACAGAGTACAGATCTAAACAGAGAATTCTCAACAGAACAATCTCAAATGGCAGAAAGACACATAAGGAAATGTTGAATCAGAATGGCTAATATCAAAAACACCAATCACAGCTTATGCTGGAGAGGATGTGGAGAAAGGTGAACACTCTTCCATTGCTGGTAGGGGTGCAAACCTGTGCAGCTGCTGTGGAAAACAGTATGACTATTTCTCAGAAAATTAGGGATCAACCTAGCTCAAGATGTTGCAATACCACCATTGGGCATATACCCAAAGGAGGCACATTCACATCACAAGGACATTTGCTCAACTGTGTTCATAGCAACATTATTTGTAATAGCCTAGATGCCCCTAAACTGAATAATGGATAAAGAAAATGTGATTATATTACACAATGTAGTACTACTCAGTGGTAAGAAACAATGGCATCCTGAAATTCACAGGCAAATGGACAGACTAGAAAAAAAAATTCTGAGTGAGGTAACCCAAAACCAGAAAGACAAAGTATGTACTCACTCATAAATGCATACAAGACATAAAGCAAAAGATACAGATACCCAGCCTACAATCCACAACCCCAGAGAAGCTAGAACCCTCTTCCAGAAACAGATGGAAGCAGATGCAGAAATCCACAACTAATCAATGGGCCAAGCTCCTGGAGTACAATTGAAGTGAAGGAGGAGTGATACTATGAATAAAGGAGTCAGGACCATGATGCAGAAACCCACAGAATCAAGTGACCCGAGCTAGTGAGAGATCACTGACTCAGGTCTGACAAATGGGGAACCTGCCTAAGACTGAACTAGACTCCCTTAATAATAGGTGACAATGGTGTGACTGGATCAATATGTGAGGCCACTGGCAATGGGTCCAAGATCTAACAGTAATGCACAAACTGACTTAATGGAGCCTATTCTTTGTTCAGCCTAGATCAGGGGTATTGGGGTGGAGAGGTGCCTTGGTCCTGCCTAAACAAGATGATGGGACAGACTTAGTAGACTTCCTAGGGGAGGTCTACCCTGTCTGAGGAGAAGATGAGAGGAGCGGGGGTAGAGGAAATGGGAGGAGAAGAGGAGGGGGAACTGGGATTGGAATGTAAAAAATAAATTAATAAGAAAAAGAGAAACAAACAAAAAGGCTTTCGTGACCTTGCCCAACTGTACATAACTTTGTTGTTATTATTTTGTTGTTGTTTGCTGTGTACCCTGTGCTGAACTGGAATTCTCTGTAGACCATGCTGGTTTTGAACTGACAGAGATCTGTCTGCCTCCTCAGAGAAAAGGCAGAAAGAGGAGACAGAATCAGGCCTCCTGGGTGCTGGGATTAAAGGTGTGTGCCACTACCATCTGTCCTCTTGTGGTGACTTGACAATAACCCACCGGTAAGTCTACGTGATAGAAATGACCAACTGACATGTAAGATATTTTAAAAAGTGAATATAACATACCAGGCGAATAGAACATACCTCATTTAAATAACATGAAGCACATAGGTAAACAGAACATCAGTAGCAATGTGAGTGAAGCAGGTGTAAAACGCCACCCATAAAACAACCCCATGACCACACTGACAGGGTTCTACCAGAACTCCGGAGAAAAACTAAGAGCAAAGCTCCCACATAAATACTAATTGACACACAAAAAAAGGAAGAGTTCCTGACTCTTAGTATTACCTGATGAGCTGAGCATGGCAGTACAGGCCTTTAAGCCAGCATTTCAGAGGCAGAGGTAGGTGAATCTCAACAAGTTCCTGGCCAGTGTGGTCTACAAAGTGAGTTCCAGACAAGCCACGCCTCAAAAAAAACAATAAACAAACAGCATCAGGAGCAGAGCAGGAGAGCCCCCCCACCCCCCGCAAGGGGTGAGGGGAGGGTTTTTTTTTATAGAGAAGAAAGTTGGCTGTCCCTGGGAGGAAAGGTCTGCAAAAATGTCAAGGTCCATAACTACTAGGGGTTACGATTTCCTAGGACTAAAGTCTATACCTCTAGACTAGTGGTTACTACTTCACTGTTTCCCTGGGCAGGAAAGGTCACCTAGACTGGAGGTTACTATTTTACTTCTTGGGATTCCTCCAGTTTCCCTGCTCAGGGATTGGCTGGTTTTGTGTCTGGGGCAGAGATGGCTCCAGTGTTATGGGCCAAACGGTTTCTTTTTGTGGTTTATTTTGACTTTTGGGCTCCAATTTTAGGGCTTAGGCAAATTTCTTTTACAGGTTCCAATTCTAGGGGCCAAGTGTGTTCTTTTGGAGCTAGTTTCAAAGTTAGGGTGTTTTTATCTGGCTCTGGGTTCAAGGGAAAGTTGCCTCTTTCTCAGGCTCGGGTCCCAAATGCACAGTGTGTTTCTTTCTCTGTGTTGAGGCTCAGATCCAGGACGCTTAAGGATTGTGTAGGGGCTTCAGATCAGGCATTTTCTGAGACCGGGGTCTCTCAAGAGAAGTGATGTGACCGGAAGCATCCTTATTATCTGCTTCTGGGACAGCGCTCACCATTGCATTTAAAAAAAAAAAAATCCCATATTTTATATAAATAGCAGACACCTATTATCGTTTGGTGTAAGAATGTAGCCCGGGAGGGCAGTAGTCAAATCGAGGTTATGCTGCCTGTCTTTTCTCTGAATGTGGGGTCAGATCCGGGGTGCAGCGTCCTCCTGGATGCAGTTCTGGTCTAGGCTGGCAGCAAGCGTGTGGGGAGTCTGTGCAGAGCGGGTCCAGGGCCGCTTGACAGCTGCAGCTGTACTGAAGGGACGGGTCTCAGTGGGTCAAGATCTGCAAACTGAAAGTTCTCCCCAAATATGCTGAAGATTCTGACAAGGAATAGCAATTGGAAGTCATTCCCACATATCTGTACTTTGTGTTTTCTTCGTGTACTGAGCCCAGTACCGTGTCAGATGTTTGTATTCTTTCTAAAAATTCTAAGGTGCCTCATTCACTACCTCACAGAACACGTGCATTATTATATGCAGGGTAGGCCTGGTCACCTGTCAGGAGCAAATGAAATTCCCCTGGAATGTGGAGAGGAGAAAGTGGAGGGTGGACTAGGGAATGAGCAAGAGAATGGTGATGGCTTCAAGTGAAAGAGAAAACAGGAATTGAGAATGCTTTTTCAATATTCAATTCCACTTGAAAGTATTCCCGGTCATTTATCTTAGTATAGCATCCTGGTCCCAGGATGCATCCTGCCTGTTCTGGTGGTTAGAAGATGCTGTGCCTACTGCACCTGAATTATGGTCATACAATGCTCATACAGAATGCAACTTTACTTGGCTGTGCTGACATCAGAATGGAATAATTTTACAAACTTTAACATGAGTAAATGAAGTAGGATGATTCTGTAATTGCCTTCCTTAAATGCATATCTTCATATTATAGCCTTCCTTGTCTTGTCAGTAGAGAGCACACAAACTCCCCTCTCAGGAGTCAGTGTACAGAGTGAACTTGAGAACAACCCTATGAGGAAAATTAAGAAACCCAGCAGTGGAACTCAGACAGTGGAGGGTAGAAATAAGCAATAGCTGCCATGAGATCCCTGCCTCACAAGCTAGAGCCTCTGATGTCTGGCAGAATACTGTCTTTGCAACCCTTACTTTTATAGAATCTAATGCCTTGTTTAGAAATAAATAAAATAAAGCCTTTGATGCTTTTAAAGAAGACTTTAGTTTTTAAAGGAAGTGGGTCTACTGAACTGTACTCTTCATTGCCTATCACTTAGTAAAAGCACTGTGAATGTGTGATTGGATTAAACTCTTGATCAATTTTTAAGAAGTAATATTTAAACATCAAGACATGTGATCTCCATTCGTCCCAAAGCTAATTATTGATTCCTCAATGAATTGATCCATCTTGTACCATTTGACATTTTGGGTTTTTTTTTTGTTTGTTTGTTTGTTTGTTTTTTTGTTTTTTTTCCCTGAGGCAGGGGTTCTCTGTGTAACTTTTTGAGCCTGTCCTGAAACTCACTCTGTAGACCAGGCTGGTCTCAAACTCACAGAAATCCTCCAGAGTGCTGGGATTAAAGGCGTGTGCCACCATCGCCTGGCC